AAAGAAAGAAAGAAAGAAAGAAAGAAAGAAAGAAAGAAAGAAAGAAATAGACATATTGAATACAATAAAAGCTGGACCAGCAACTCTTGCTGCATTGTCTTCCAGGCCCCCGTTCCCAGAATTCGGTAGAAAAGCCTCACTCATGTTCCTCCCCAGACCCCACAACTTCTATCCAATAAAGTACCATCTTGGCCCAAATGGGGTTGTTTTCCTTACTACTTTACTGATAAAAGCAAAGATCTCTGTTATGCATCTCCAGTGAATGTGCTGTTGAGTCACAACGTGGCGCAGAGGCAGCCTGGCCCACAGGGACAGTTGGGAAGCAAGGAACTTGTTCCCATGGGCAAACACTAACCTCTCCGCCATGGTGCATAGAACATTTGAGGGGGAACTGGACACTTCTGCTAATATTTTAAAACTGTCCCTCCTCACACGGGACTCCTTTCTTTTTCTTCTGTTTCGAAACACCTCGTTTTGCCTTCCTCCCCAGTCCAAAATAACGAAATGAAATAAAAAGGTTTGGCCGATCATTAATCGCCTTTAATTTTTCATTTGCTTGTTACAGATGTTGCTTTCAAGGTAATCTTGCCCTGCGCAGCTGAGCGCCCGCATCTTGCGCCTGCGACATCAAAGGGGTCTCTCACAAAGCAGTGTTTCTTCGCCACGGTGCATCTTCATGGTAAGTTAGGATTTCTATGGCAATGGGCAAGTCTCACTGAAATCCTGAAAGGCCGAGCCTGGAGCCCGTCCAGGCTTTTCATTAAGGACATAATATTTACGTCTAACAGGCCTTTTTTCTTGTGTATACAAGTATATATTTTTGTTTGACGCGGACTAAATCATTTTCATTTAATTTCCGGTAAACAAAACCCACGCGAATGGGCACTTGTTCCCGATCATAATAAAAATGGATAATAATGCGAGGGAAGAAAAGGGCCGCTTGAATCGCCGCTCAGCCCTCTTTGTTTCTGCTTTCTGCGGTGATCAGAGGGCGTATTTGGGTTTGATGGCGAGTTTCTAAAGGCGAGGAAATGGTTTGTAAGAAGGAAAAGAAAAGGAGAAAGGTCCAATCAAGCTCGGGTTGTTCAAAGAGTCGCGTTTTGGGGTTGAAAGTGTGAGTTTGACGGAGCATCAGCATGCCGCGTTAGGCTCGCCATGGAAAAGCGCGCGGGGAGCGGCCTCTTCAAAGGCGGCACACTTCACTGCGGACACTCTATTAAGATACATTTGCGCTGACCTTTGCTTTCACGCCATTTAATACTGTCACTGTGCTCTCCAGTATATACTTCCTCCCAGGACCTGTCTTGCCAGTGTTTAGGGGTTCACCCTGCACCCTGATGTAGCGGGGTTTGGCACCCGGCACTCTATCAAGAAAGGGGGGAGGAGCCGGACTCCGAGAAGCTTGAAGGCGCCAAAAGGCTCCAGAGTCAGAATAAATGACTAGGGCATCCCCGAGAAGCTTACCAAAGGAGCACCCCGAGCTCAGTTGTCTGTGACACAGAGTCGAACGGGGACTTAAGATGAAGGTGGCCAACCTGGGAAAGTATGGGAGCTGTTAACTACTATGCCTCAGGGACACTTCGTTTCACTGTGTTTCCCAGAGGTGCCCTACTGCCTCCTCGCCCTAGAAGTCTCGCAGTCCCTTAAACTTTTTCTCTGATATGTCACTGTGTGGTATCCTTAGGTCTGGGTTGGCTTTGGGTACACACTGAAAAGCCCAAGGCCAAGGGGATGGGGAAGATGGCAGCAAAGTTAGAAGTCCATGTTCCCTTAATTGTCTTGTTGTTTATTTTATCCAAGTACCCTAGTGAATAGGGGAAAAATAAACACGGTGGAAAAAAAATCAAACAGTAGAGTCTTCTTTAGTGCCTGTCCTTGTGGTTGAATAAAAAGGATGGTCTGCCTTCTATTGAGCTGAGAAATCTTTGAAGTGGGAGTTATTATCTGAGACATTCCTGCTTGTCGTCCTAACAACGCTGGTGAAATGTAAAAGGTTCTTTGTCAGCGATTTGTTCTCCTCTCTGTCAAACTCACTTTGCCCTATTGGTTTCAAACCATTGCTAAAGAGATAAAATCAAGTTTCTTAAAATAAAACAACAACAGCAAATCCCTACACTCCACCAGTAGATAACTTTAGGAATAAGTTTTTGCTAAGGGGAAAAGAAAACAGAAAAGCATTGTGTCTTTTCAGTCCTGCTGATGCATGCAGATGTTGAAGGACTCTGCATCAAAACTGGTACATTAGGTAATGCAGGAAGGGTAGAGGCAGAGGGTATGAGTCCCTAGTCTATGCTCCTGTGGTTGTGCTATCTATCCAGGCCTGCATTCCATCTGCCCAGGTTTACTAACAGGATGGATTCTCCTGGACATCACTCAGACTCCAAATATTCCTGCCTGGGATTCTTGGAACTTACCCCTGAAAACAAGTACTGTTAAAGTTTTCCTTTCTTCAGAGAAACTTCTGGTAAAAATAGACCCATTGTGTTTCCTCACCACTGGCAGCAATCAACACTCCATTTCTGTCATTAATCTAAAGGATGGTAGCATAAGGGAGAGAAGCATTTTAATATTTCCATTGTTTTTCTTGATTATCTTGGAGTCCTGAAGGTTTGGTTTACAAGATAGTGACCAAAAAGTGCATGCACGTGCCAACCCCTTCCCCCCGTGTGCATTTCCTCATTTTATAGTGTGCCTAGAAAAAAAAAAAAACAAAAACAAAAAACAAAAAACAAAAAAACAAAAAAAGCACACAAAAAAACTTTGCCCCTGTTCAGGTTTTCTCAACCTCCTACAGTAGTTTTAAAGGTGATTTTAATAAATAAGGATGTGCCCATCACCCTACCCTGTGTGTTAACTAAATGAGTTGTGAAGAACATTCCCCAAATTGTAACCCATGTAATCGGTTATAGTTGTGGCAAAAGTCTCTTATATTGATGTTGTTTGTTGACTTGACTCTCCATACGTCTGTTTGTATTGCTAGCTTATGGGGAAATGTAATGATTGCAAAGAAACTGAATTATACAGTCAGGCAACTCTCTTATAACCATGACGAACTTACACACCAGCTTGAGTCCACCCTTAGATTCTTGGTATCTTGTCTATCTACACTGTGATTTAAGAATTTCTCCCCTTTAACAGCCGTTAAATTATGAAATAAGTTGAAAGAAAAAAGTTGTGTGTATTCGACAGTGATTGTTGAATAAAAAGAAAGTTGAAAGCAGAGGCATACTCTTCTTAAAAATATGTACGTGTAAGTTAATTCTTAAAAATATGTATGTGTAAGTTAATTAAAATAAGTTTTTCCCCCCCAAAAGACCTTGTGTACGTGTGCCTTCTTTTTGCTGTGTTATTTGGAAATAAGTGATTTGATGCTTTCCTTTCTCCTTGGAATCCCAGTGCCCAGTTATTACTTTGTAATCTCAGGAGAGAATTGAGGGCTCTCTTACAGCTCCTACCCCTTCCTTTTCCCTATCTTTTTTCATGGTTTGGCAGGATTATCTTTGGGGCCTAGCTACTTGAGGTAGCAAAATAAGGGACCTAACAAAACAATGATCAGAGCAGAGATCTCTGCAGCTACAGTCTAACCCCAATGACACCAGTGGCAGCAACTGATTTACATTTCAGAGAAAAAAAGATAAATGGATGCTCAGTGGTCTGTTTGTTAAGGATGCCTTCCTGCAGGTCTTAGCACTCTGATGAACCACCTCTGATTCCTCGCTGGGAACTGGTAAGAAGTGAACAAACTTAGAAGAAGAAGCAGGGAAAAAAAAAAAAAAAAAGAGTGAATTGGCTCCAAAAGCCAGCCCAAACTGATGAAATCCCTTAGGCAGACCAGCCTGAAGAGATCTCACTGAGGTTTCCCTGAGGGATCTCAAATAGGCTGAGATCACCTAAGGGCTCTGTGAAGGTTCTCAACTTTAAGGCTGAAAGGCTACAGTCCAATGAATGGCTGTTTCTTCAACTGCTTTTAGGATCTTTGGGGAGTTTTACCCAGCTGTATCAGAATCATCTTAATCACCAGATCAACCCACTGTGGTCTCTGCTTACAGAAGCCAGTGCTCTTTCTGCACTTCAAACCCTTCACAGATGACACATCTTGGAGATGTGTGTCTGGCTCCTCTCTAATGGCTGAGAGTTGGGTCTTATGATCCTGGCTAGGGTGAAGAATTGGGTACGGTGGGAGAATGACAAATACTGGGGTGAGAATGGCACGTCTCCTTAGATTATTTCTTCCTTCCACAACTAGCTCAAAGACTGTATTCTTAGAGGGAGAGGGATCCAGAACTAAAAAGAAAGAAGACAAGCATTTGTGAAAGGTGAAAGGGCAGCCTCTGGGAGAATAAGGCTTTGTAGAATAGGCAGGCAGTGGAAAGGGTGAGGTGGTTGGGCATCGGGCCCTCTGGTTTCTGCTCAGCAAACTCTCAGCCCATTGGTTTAGGGGCAGATTACAAGGATCTCGGCTGATGCTTTGGCTTCCTGGCCTCTTTGGAAAAGAGCACCCAAGAAAGCTCTTTCTGCAGCACAGTCTGTACAGGGCATAGTGTAGAAAGTGGCTAGTGATGAAACCACACCCCCACGGAGGCTCTCTCAGGTCCTGACTCTACTGTGTTTTGGTTAGAGTCCTCCCAGACTCTACGGTTGCCCAGCCAGGACTGGAGAGGAGATCCTAACCCATCCAACCTATACTTTCCTATCCTTTCCAGACTAATGGCAAACTGGTAAAGCACTGCCTATTCTGTGCCAGAGCCACCTGGCAGGGTGGAAAGAAAGAAGGATGTTTGGAAGGTGGCTGCATTGACATCCTCCAGTAGGCTTTTGGAGAAGAAAAAATTCTGCCTTTGAAACTTTCTGGTCCCAGCAAAAGAACTGTTTGTAGGAGCAGAGGAAAGGGGAACTTAGCTCCAAGCCATTGGGAGAATTACCACTTCCTTTTAGCTGTGTTAAAGTCTATCTATCTATCTATCTATCTATCTATCTATCTATCTATCTATCTATC